ATCCCGGAGTCCTGGGATCAAGCCCCGCAACGGGCTCCCTGCTCCACGGGAAGCCTGCTTCTCCCTCTCCCACTTCCCCTACTTGTGTTCCTGCTCTCACGCCCTCTGTCAAATAAATAAATAAAAAATCTTTAAAAAACAAAAACAACACAAAGACAAACAAACCAAAAAAAAAAGAAAAGAAAAAACCACTTCTCTAGGGGCGCCTGGGTGGCTCAGTCGTTGAGCGTCTGCCTTCGGCTCAGGTCATGGTCCCAGGATCCTGGGATCGAGCCCCACATCGGGCTCCCTGCTCAGCAGGAAGCCTGCTTCTCCCTCTCGCACTCCCCCTGCTTGTGTTCCCTCTCTCGCTGTATCTCTGTCAAATAAACAAAATCTTTAAAAAAATAAAAAACCACTTCTCTTCTCTAGTCAAAAACAATATGACACACATACAAACCACCTTCTAGTAATATAGCATATAAATGTGGCATATTATGATCTAAAAACATAGAATTACTAAAGGAATGTGCTATATCTGGTCTACTCTCATTACTGCTTTTCCTCTTTGGTTCCCTTTGAAAATGAAATTGACCAAAGTTTGAAAATAGACAACAATGTTGTAAAGAGAAGGTCACTTTATTATTTAATCTCTGTGCCAGAAGAGTGGAGATTCAAATCCACAAATGGGGAGAAAAACAAGATAATGAAATGGTTTCTTCCTACCCCATACTCTTGCCACACCCTGACTGGACTTCTCATTTTACCTATCATAGAGAGATTCTGGGAAGAGAGAAAACTACAAAGCTTGGCAGATAGATTTACAAAATTAATAGCACCCTAAAAGCAAGAGAAATGGATCTTTCATATATTCTCCCTACCAGATCAAGTAAAATTCTACATGCCTCGCACTGTGCCGAACGCTTCTCATCAACTCTTATTCTTCACAACAATCCTATGTGGTAGGTGTTAGCATCATTGCCACTTTACAGATGATGCAACTGAGGCTCAGAAAGATTGAGAAACTCACCCAAGGTTGCACAGCTAGTAAAGTAAGTGGCAGAGAGCCAAGAGTCTTGACTCCAAAATCCATACTATTCACCCACTAGTATACTACTTATTATCATAGTCTAGATGAAAGGGTATTGGTTTTTAGACTTGGCTTCACCCCTTGGGCAAATCACTTGACCTTGCTGAGCAGTTTGTCATCTGTAAATGAGGGCAATGACAGTTCCTCCAGCCTTCTCCATAGCATCCAGTGATGCTAAAGAGTTAACAAAAGGGCACCTGGGCGGCTCACCTTTGGCTCAGGTCACCATCCCAGGGTCCTGGGATCCAGCCCCTGCATCACGCCCCCTGCTCAGCAGGAGGCCTGCTTCTCCCTCCCCCACTCCCCCTGCTTGTGTTCCCTCTCTGTCTCTCTGTCAGATAAATAAAATCTTTAAAATAAAAAAAATTAGTCAATTTGCACAAAAGTGCAAATATGCTGTAAAAATTATGGGGCGCGATGTAAATGTAAGATTTTGTTAATTTGAGCCTTGGTTACATATCTTTATCTTCCAAATGGTTTACTGACGTAAAAATAAAGGTTTTCTTTAAAGATTTTATTTATTTGAGAGAGAGACAGAGATAGCGACAGAGATAGCAAGAGAGAGAACACAAGCAGGGAGAGTAGGAGAGGGAGAAGCAGGCTCCCTGCTGAGCAGGGAGCCCAATATGGGATTCCATCCCAGGACCCTGGGATCATGACCTTAGCCGAAGGCAGACGCCTAACGACTGAGCCACCCAGGCGCCCCATGACCTTGGTGTTCTAAAAAATGCCTGGAATACTTGACAATGTATATCCCATCCTTTTAGACCAATGTTGTCCAACAGAATTTTATGCAATGATGTAAATATTTTGGATCTTCTCTAACACAGTAGCCACTAGCCACCTTGGGTACTGAACACTTGAAATGTGGCTAGTATGAAAGAGAATGGAATGTTTATTTTTATTATTTTTTTAAGATTTATTTGAGAGAGAGAGAGAGAAAGAGAGAGCTAGAGAGAGCAGAAGTAGGGTGAAGGGCAGAGGGCAGAAGGGCTGAGTGGGGAAGCCTGATGTGGGGCTCGGTCCCGAGCCGAAGGCAGACGCTTAACTGACTGAGTCACCCAGGCGCCCCTTATTTAATTTCAATTAACATTTAAACAGCCACATGCAGCTAGTGGCTATCATATCAGCACAGTTTTAGACAATTCAAGAGACCCTTAGAAATGTACTATAAGGGATGGGTTAGCCTGGTGATGGGTCTTAAAGAGGGCACATTCTGCGTGGAACACTGGGTGTTATGCACAAACAATGAATCATGGAACACTACATCAAAAACTAATGATGTGATGTATAGTGATTAACATAATAATAAAAAAAGAAAAAAAAAAGAAATGTACTATAAGGGGCACTTGGGTGGCTCAGTCAGTTAAGCGTCTGCCTTCGGCTCAGGTCGTGATCCCGGGGTCCTGGGATCGAGCCCCACATTGGGCTCCTTGCTCAGCGGGGAGTCAGCTTCTCCCTCTACCCTCCCCCCCTGCTCATGTGCTCTAATAAATAAAATCTTAAAAATAAAAAATGTACTATAATATTAACCTTAGAAGAAAAGAGTTACCTCAAGAGACCATTCAAATGCATGTAGTTATGAAACAATGCCACAATTAACTGAGTTGGTGAAGAACGACTAAGTAGATGGTTCAAACAATTAGGAGCCAATAAAGCCCATCTCCAGTTGTTTTTCCCTTTAAGTCAGTGACTAAACAGTCACTCTTCTTTAATTCCCTCAATATTTTCAAAACATTCCAATTAGTTAAACATCATTTCTGCTTCCTGAAAAAATACAGTACAAGTCAAGTTAGAATTAGGAATATTCTTTCAAGTTGGTAACCCAGAGGAAATAAAAAAAAATTAGGGGTCATAAAGAACTGAGTTTTGCAGACACAAGATAGTCACCCAATTTTTTTTAAATAAAAATTTAAAAACTAATATTTAACCATGTATTTCAATTCCAGGTCATAGTCAGTTGGAAATCAAAAGGAAAAAAGATGCCCAGAAAAACATGAGCAAAGAAAAAAGGTACATGAGATAAAACAAAAATGAGACAGTACAGACACATATGACTATTCATATCCAGCTGTTACCCAGAGTGCTGCCTCAAAGGGTCATTACCTCTTATCTCGGTCGTTTAAAATGCTAGTTGATTAAACCTCAGTTCCTAATTCAGACTCTTGGTCCTTATCCTAGTGACATAAACGGGAACTTATGTCCTCAATTGCAATGGCTTTCTATCAGAGTCCTCCCCTGGGGAATCTATGAAATCAAACACTGAGATTGGCTCCCCACTCTCAGGGAATAAATAAGTGTCCAAAGTGACAGTTTTGAAACTCTAGAGTACATTCGGTCCACAGCTTCTTTTTCAGTCCTTCAAGTACTGGATCTTTATTTTAGAGTACAAAGAAAGAGAGGTAACTGAGTAGTAGTAACACCCTTATGCAGGGAGATATGAAAATACCCGACCTTAGAAACAGGCCCCTAGCTCCCTGCTCCACAAGGGGCCTGCTTCTCCCTCTCCCACTCCCCCTGCTTGTGTTCCCTCTCTCGCTGTCTCTGTCAAATAAATAAAATCTTTAAAAAAAAGAAAAGAAAGAAACAAGCCCCTAAAAGCCAATTCTTGACATTTTTCTCAGATGTAAACCAAACCTTTGTTCTCCTTTTTCAAGCTTATAAATCTCATAAGAAAAATATTTCGTAATTTCACACAGGAGTGATTTTTGAGAGTATTCAAATGCATAATTAAGTAATAGTAAATAGCTAAGTGATCAAGCAGGCCGTCCAACAAGTTGAACGTTTCAATAAGTTCCACTGTAAGGAAAAAGGGACGGGGTTTCCACCTTTCCAGCGCCTTTCCCCGCGGATTTCCATTCCTGGACCCTGAAAGCCCTGTACCCCATTTGTTGTGCAATCTTTTTCGAACTCCACCCACTGACTCCAGAACAAGTGGAATTCTCCCATTCTGAAGGTCTCGATTTTCCTGTATCCAGGGAGACATTGAAAACTCCTTGACGTGAGTCAAGTAAGGCAAGGGGAACGGTCCAGCCTGTCTCCCAGATTGAGAGAGACCAAAGGCCAGGGTGGGGGAGGCGCTCAAGTTTCCGCTCACCCAAAAAAAAGAAAGGAAAGAAGGGTAAATAAAGAAAGCAAGAAAGGGGAGGAAGGGCTAAATGGGAAGACCGGCTATCATGCGATGCTGCCCCCAACCCTGCGGGACCCAGGTCCACCAGCATCGTCTTCCCATCGCCGGTCCCACGTGTAGCCAGGCCAGTGGTGCCCAGAGACGAGCCCTGGGACCCGGGAGCCGAATGGCCCCTCCAGCCCCACGGCATTCGCCCGCCCGCGCAGTGGCAGGGGGGCGGGGGAAAGGGGGCGCAGTGCAACCCCAGCTCCCGCGCGGTTATCTTACTGCGCAACAGCCTCGCCCGCGCCGCCCGGGCGCACCCCGCAGCGCGCCCTGCGCACCTGCCCGGCAAGAGCAGGGCCAGCCCCTGACCCAGGCAGCCCTCCGACGGCGGCGGCCAGCGCCGGGGGCACTGGGAGCACGGAGAGCACCGAGAGCACTGGGAGCACGCCGAGGGCGGGGGCTAGGAGAAGAAACACCTGGCGCCCGGGGTTCCCCGGCGCCGGCCGCACGTGGCTGTCACACCTGGCGTGCCCCCGCCTCGCACCCCTTCCCCCTCACACCAGGCTGCGCCCCCTGCCCTCTCCCCACCTCTGCCGCGCGCCCCCAAACCCCAACCTTCGCTCCCTCCTTCCCCATCGATCCCAGTCCCAAATCCTCCCCCACCTGCTCCCACTGTCGTCACCCCCGGGAAGGAAAAAGGCCGGATGTTCGTCCCGTGGCTAAAGGTAACCGGAGAGAGTGAAGATGTGTACCCCGAAAAATCTAGCCCGGGCATTCCCCCGGCCGTACAACAACGCGGACGCCTCCCAGACTGACCTTTTGCCGCGGGCTGCGTCGCCGTCCGCCCCGTCCGGCCTCAATAGCCTCTTCGGCGCCGCCGCCTCTTCCCCGCGCTGCCTCCTCTACCCGCGTCGCCATGAGGTGACGGCAGCAGCCAAACAAGCGGCCCGACAAGGGGCACGGAACCTTTCAGGGCCCCCGCTCCCCGCCCCTGAACCCCCACGGCCAATCGCCGCATGAACGGCTTCCCACGTGACCGGAGGAGGTTGGCCCCCGAGGGGATGGAGCGGGATGTGGGTGGGGAACATTGAAGTCTGGGCTGGGCTTCTGCGGGGCCGAAGGGCGAACACAGGCCGCGCGAGTCTGCGCAGACAGGGAAAAAGAAATCTGAAGCGGACTACAAGTCCCAGCAGGCTGCGCGGCCACGGCTCACCGGCCCCGCTCAGGATTGGAGCGTAAGGCGGTGTTCTGAAACGGGGAGTGTCCCCTGGGTTGTGCGTGCCGCCTATTGGGACTTGTAGTTTTTTGGAAGCGATGTACCTGTACCGGAAGGTGCTCTTGATTATCCTGAGGGAAAAGTTTAGAAATATTACAGTGTTTGGGAGGGGGTAGGAGTGGGGACGTGTTGTTGTGTTTTTGTTTCTGTTGCTCCTCTTCGGAATTGAGCCCAAATGATTAGGGATAAGGGGAAATCATGACTTTCAAGGCGGCAGAGATGTAATGGCTTTCAGAATTTGAGGTTTCTGGCTGGGACACTTGTCCCGAGTCCTAATCATCCACCAGAGCTCTCAGCACCATTTACCTGTCCTGAGCTCCTGCGGGGTAGGGGCTGCGTCCGGTTCACCTTGGCTGAACCGCCCGGTCTTCTAGCACAGCTCTCCACACTTAGTTGGCGCTTAATACATGTTGAATGTATCCTGTTTTCTCCGCTAGTCCTTTCGTTACTGAAATTTTATTTTTTTTTATTATGTTATGTTAATCACCATACATTACATCATTAGTTTTTGATGTAGTGTTCCTCGTTACTGAAATTTTAAAACAAATTAGGTTTGCTGAATCGATTTCTTTTTTCTTGACAGGATTGGGGCGGGGGGTGCAGTTTTGCTCAGGAATATTCCGTTTCCATCTGATGGAACCAGATCTCTAATGATCGAGCCTCTGAAAATCACGGACCCTCATGAAATTCTGATATATTAAATAACTCATTATGAAGTTTTGCGTGAATTCTTTACCATTTTTTATTAAAGTTGAATACAAGACAGTGGTAGCAGATGCTAAAAATGTAATAATATACACGAGAGTAAATTTCAATATTGTGCAAATTCCATCTATCAATTTTAATTATTTCTGTAAATTTGGGGAAAGTACCAGTATTTTATCTCATGGGCAGAACACTTCAGTCCAGCTTTGAGATTTCAAAACTAGAGCAGTAGATAATGAACCCATAGCCAGATTCTATATAAAGTTGATGGTCTCAGCCACCATGCCTCACCTTTTTTTTTTTTTTTAAGATTTTATTCATTTATTTGAGAGAGAGAGAGAATACAAGAGCGGGGAGGGTCAGAAGGAGAAGCAGACTCCTCGCTGAGCAGGGAGCCCAATGTGGGGCTTGATTCCGGGACCCTGGGCTCATGACCTGAGCTGAAGGCAGCTGCCCAACCGACTGAGCCACCCAGGTGCCCCATGCTTCACCTTCTTAAAAGTAAAATTCCCAGCAAGATGCATAATAAATGTAGGGGTAATGCTTTTTCTAACCTGTTCAGGGAGCTGAGTGTCAAAATGCACAGTAGTTAAATAATGGCACAATTGAACACCATTCAGCTACTAAGAATGATAAACATTGTTTTAATTTGACCTAGAAAACATACATAGCATGGTGAGCTTTAAAAGAAAAAATTCCAGGGGCACCTGCCTGGCTCAGTTGGTAGAGCATGTGACTCTTGGTCTCTGGGTTGTGAATTCAAGTCCCATGTTGGGTGTAGAGCCTACTTTTAAAAAAAAAAATCCATTTGGGAGGGGGTAGGGGATGGACAAAAGGGGTGAAGGAGAGTGGGAGATAAAGGCTTCCAGTCATGGAATGAATAAGTCATGGGGATAAAAGGTACAGCATAGAGACTATAGTCTGGTACTGTAATAGCCTTGTATGGTGACAGATGGGAGCTACACTTGTGGGGAGCACAACATACTGTAGCATAGATTTGTCACATCACTGTTGTACACCTGAAACTGATGTAACACTGTGGGTCAATGATACTTCAATAAAAAAAAAGCCATTTATATAGAATTGCCCGTTTGTTTATAAAGAGATATTTAGAAGGATATTAATCAAAATGTTAATAATGTGTTTCCCTGGGTGGTGAGATTTGGGAGTATTTTTACTTCATGATTTTCTGTGTTGTTTAATTATGTATGGAAAAGAGTCAGTAATTATCTTTATTACGAAAACAAAAGAACTATGTAAGTGATGTCAAATCTTAAAAGATGAAAAATAATTGTATTTATTTTATTTATACATGGTCTTATTTCAAAAGGGATTTGGGTGTATGTGTGTATGTAGGGTTAAAGATCTAAATCATGCTATTCATTCCTATGTATATATGGGGGGGAATGAGGAGAAAGTGAATATGAAAGAAGGATGGGAAAAATAAGATGAAGTCATGGGTGAGCTGAATCCATAAAACACATGCCTTGAGGTCTCGTACACAAGCTGGAGGTGAGCCAAATTTTTATTTTGTGCTTCTTGACAGCTGAGAAAAGAGGAAAACACAATTTACAGAGTGATTCACAATACTGTAAAATAAAAACAAAGTGGTTGCTCAAGAGAAACATAGCTATTACTGCTCCTGAGAGAAATACGAATTTTAGAGGTCCTATAACATCTTTAATGTAGGCAATGGTGGTTTTAAAATCTGTCCACAAGTTCGCTGATGCTCCTTCCTCCAAAAGGTGGAGTATGATTCCCCTCCTCTAGGGTGTGGGCCAGGCTTAGTGGTTGGCTTCTAAGGAATATAGCATAACAGAAGTGATGCACAGCTTCCAACACTGGTCAGAGAAAGAATAGCTTCTGCCTTGTCCTCTAGGTCTTGGATCGTTCTCCTTTTCCTTGGGTCAGACTAACCTGTTTTATATACCCATTCTTTGTTTAGATTTTTATCGTAAATGTCTTCAAAGAGGTCTCTGTCAAGACTTAGTCCAAAGCTCTATAAAGCACTTTGCTTATCTCTGCTGGGATCCATTGTTAGGGTTATATTTTAGGTTTGCGAGGGCTATCATTTTTTTTTATTTTGTGAGTCTTGAAAAGGCACCCCATGTTCTGTCTTCATTAATTATTCTCACATTGGCTCAAGGAATTGTCATCTGTTAAGAACTGTGCCTGCCAGGAAGGTAAAGGTCCCGAGATAAACAGTTCCTCCTCGTTGGGTAGGGAGTATTCTCCCCAGGCTCCCTAAGGGCTCTGCACATAACCTGAATATGGGCCCATTTATTCAGATGTTTATTAAGCAGCCATGTATCTGAGGCACAAAACAGTTTTTATGAATATTAAGTTCAGTGATGTCCCAGCTCTCTGTTGTTTCACGTGCTCTGACAATCATTTTGCAGGAAATGCAAGGCACTCAAAGTAGACTCACCACAATCACAGAGAGAGGATTCTGTTGGCCTCATAACCATTATCAGGGAGCTGGAACTCTCAGAGTTCATAGCTGGACACAGGGCCATTTGGAGTTTTAGCCTATAGTATTATCCCTAAGGGAACAAGCTTGCAACTTGCTAGGTTCTTATGACCTGTCGATGCAAGGGTGAGAAGTCTCACATATTCTAAACAACGCATGTCTTGAGTATCATTGATTTTACCAATTCGAGCCCATTTCTCTCACCTGTCATACCAGCTAACAAACTACTAATTCCACCAATGAAAACCAATTTCTAACCTTCATTCTGCTACTTAGCAAAGCTGCTGGTTTAATTGAGCTATGGCTAACAGAAGCATTTGTAGCTGTAATATGGAATATGGACTCCCTGATTAATATAGCTGACCACCCTTGGTGTGTAAAGTCCCGAGTAGTGTCATTGCCAGCCCTTAATTTAATGCAACACACACACACACACACACACACACACACACACACGCTGCTAATTACTACACTTTTCGCTGACAGTAAATTACAGACCTCATCAAACTGTAAGGACCAAGGGCAGGCTCCTCCAAAATGTGCCACATTAGTATGCAGATTATTTCAAGCTGAAAATAACCAATGGCCATAAACACTCAGGAAGAAACCTGGAACTTCCCCCTAACTACCTAGACGAATATGGAGGACCCGCTCTGAGAGCTAGCACCATAAATAACTATATTAGACTATGAACTAGGTATGATAGACAAGAAGGAACCCAGCAAGCCTGTTTGATCAAATTCCTCTTTGTGTCTCATTGTTTGAGTGGCCCAGCAAACATGTTTACCAAACATTTACTTTTTCATCTTCATGAAAGTCACTTTCCTTCCCTTTGAAGTCCCAGACCCCTACCCTCTTCTTAGTTCAGGAGGTCCTTTATACTTCATTTTGCCTGTCTTTGGACTCTCATGTCTGTGTGGATCCCTCATATGTACATAAATTTTATTTTCTCCCGTTAATCTGTCCTTTGTCAATTTGATTCTCAGACTAGGTAGAAGAATGTTGAAGGATAGAGGAAAATTTTTCTTCCCCAACCATACCTTATAATATGATCAAAGGTATTGACAAATCTAAAGAAGCAGTGTTTCTATTAGAAGAGTAGAAACCTAGAAAAGGGAGAGTCAGGGAAGCCTGGCTGACAAAGCCATCCATGCAACGTCTGGGGGAGAGAGAATTTTGTTCCAAAAAAGAGAACTTCAAAAATAATGGCCCTATTCACAAGCCTGATTCCTAGTGTAGGGATGGAGGCCCCATCATTCTAATGCCTTTGAGCAGGGAAAATTGTTTTGATATTTTACCAATCTTACCATTATAATCTGCCTCCTAATGTGAATCTGACTAGAGAGAGAGAGAGAATGTAGATATGTGTACCTTTCCGTCCAGTGAACTACTTCCATTGCTTATTGTTAATAAAGGGACATTTTGACTTTGTAAATCAGGACTGAGGGCTGTTCTGGAGAGAACATATCCTGAGTGGTCTCTCCAGGAAGCCCCTCTGGTGCCC